GAACGAAGCACATCGCTCTGCGGTACTTCCTGGCTCGAGAGCTGCAGCAGCGTGGTCAGCTTTGTCTGCGTTACGTGGCCACGGAGGCCAACACTGCTGATGTGTTCACCAAGGCGCTTCAGCCTTGTGACCATCAGCGCTTTTGCACTCTGCTAGGCCTTGTACCTACTGGGCCTCACTTACTTACCTCTTGACCTTGCTTGTACTGTGATCACTATATATATATGCCTACTTGTTTACGTTTGCTAGGTTGTGATCACTGTATCTCTTGCTTTGTTATAAACCTGCATGTGAACTGGTCTTGTGACCGCTTGCTTGTGCTCGGAATTTGTGTGGAATCCTTGAGATCCACCCTGAGCTTGTTTTGCTTTGCTTTGACTGGTCTTGTGACCCTGTGGCTGTCTCCCACTGCGCCTATGGGGGTGTGTCAAACATTGCATGTTTATATTGTCTAGGCTGTAGTGGGTTACACCTTAGGGGGTACACAAAGTTAGGGTTTCCTACTTGTACCAAACTCTGTTCTAGTTCATTCATTCCTGTTCAGTTATTTCTGACAAGGACTTCTCCACCCTGAAGCGGAAATCCAAAAACGTGCTACCAACTTTAAGACGACTTGCTAATAATCCTAACATCATTTTTAAACCCGCAGATAAAAACCTTGGCCTTACAGTTATGAGCAGAGGGTATTATCAGGAGCAATGCCTGAAACATCTACTCAACGAACAGGTCTATAAGGAATATTCTGCAGTCCCGGTTTCTACCATTCTTCAAGAGCTTCATACTATTCGCTCAGAATGGGACCCGCTCATTAATCCCAGGATTTGGAATTCTTTCTTCGATCGGCCTAAGAACGGCTGGAAAGTACCGGCTTTCTACGTACTGCTGAAAATCCATAAGAAGGTTCCTGCTGGAAGGCCTATTGCCGCTTGTCAAACCTGGATTACGACAGATGTTTCACGCTGACTGGATTCTATCCTACGCCCTTTGGTGCTCAAACAGCCGACATACGTTAAGGACTCCAAGAATCTTATTCTTCAACTTGAGCAACGTCCTTTTTTTTTCTAAGTTGCTGCTGGCGTCTTATGACGTTGAGTCTTTGTACCCGTCAATCCCGCTGTGGGATGGTATTGATGTTGTCGCCTATTTTCTACAAAAGGAGCGTGTCAGAATGTTGTATTTGTCTAGCCTGCAGTGGGGTACTCTATAGCGAGTACAGCCCAATCTAGGGTTCCTATATGTACTCAACTGCTTGCTAGTGCAACTCCTCTTTCTGCCTCTAAACTTTCTACTACCTATCTTGACATGGTATCAGAGCAGGTCGACCCTCCTGGGTCGATCCTGTGGGTGGGCCCACCACCTAAGCCTTCCGCTGCTACTGCTACTGCTACTCCCTGTCCGCCGCGCGCCCCGTGGCGCGCGGCGTCGAAACTAGGGTTTTCAGCCCGCCGTGCGCCCCGAGGCACGCGGCGGTTTTCTGCCCGCCGTGCGCCCCGAGGCGCGCGGCGGTTCTCTGCCCGCCGTGTGCCCCGAGGCGCGCGGCGGGTTCCTGCCCCGTCACTCGGCACGTCGCCCCCGGGAGGAGCTGCGACGGGCGACGGGGACCCGCGCGTCGCCCCCCGTCGCCCGTCGTGGCCTGCGCGCGGCCCGTACACCCGGCACGCGGCCCGTACGGGCTGCGCCAGGCCTGCGCGCGGCCCGTACGGGCTGCGCCAGGCCCGCGCGCGGCCCGTACGGGCTGCGCCAGGCCCGCGCGCGGCCCGTACGGGCTGCGCCAGGCACGCGCGCGGCCCGTACGGGAAGCGCCAGGCCCGCGCGCGGCTCGGGCCGCCTGCGCGCGGTTCGGGCGGCTCTACCAGGCCCGTGGGCGGCCCGTTCCTCGCTGCTCCTGCCCTCTCCACTGTCCCCCGTGCTTCTACCGGCGCCTCACCCCTCCTACAGCCCGTTCTCCTGAATTAGGGTTTGGGGGTGAAGAGTGTGGGGGTGGCGGCTATGGGGGTGTCGGTTGTGAGTTCCTCCCCCTGCTCCTCCTCCTCCCTCGTCTCCCTCTGCTACAGCTGCCGCTGAGGGGGGTGGTGTGTGGGAGCCGAGGGTTTAGGGTTTAAGGGGGGTGCCGTGGATGTGGAGCTAGGGTTTCAGCAGGGGGTGTGTAAGAAGGGCGTGGGACAGTCGGGGGAGGTTGAGCGGAGGCTGCCGTCTTGTCGTCAGCAGCACCTGTAGTCCGGGGCGCTTGTTCCGGTAGCCCAGTCGTAGCCAGCTGCGCCAGTCGCCCGTGGGTCCGTTGCTCGTCTGCCGCTCTTCTTAGCCGCGGAGCCAGTTACTCCTGTAGTCCGGGGCGCTTGTTCCGGTAGCCACTGAGCCAGTTTGACTCCTGTTGCCCGTGTGTCTGCAGCTTCAGCCGACGCCTCTTATCTCCTCTCCACCTACAGTCTCGCCTCCTCCTCCTCACTTGCCCTTTGTGAATGCCTCTAGCTTTGCATGCACTTGTGAATCTGCTCTATGACTGCTTGCTCTGCTGATTATACCCCACTTTGACTATGGGGGTGTGTCAGAATGTTGTATTTGTCTAGCCTGCAGTGGGGTACTCTATAGCGAGTACAGCCCAATCTAGGGTTCCTATATGTACTCAACTGCTTGCTAGTGCAACTCCTCTTTCTGCCTCTAAACTTTCTACTACCTATCTTGACAGAGCGGCATCCACTCGCGCCAGTCATTATTCGCCTTTTAAGATGGGTGATCTTCAACAGCTTCGTTTCTTTCAACGGCCGTTTTTTCCGTCAAATCCAAGGCACCGCCATGGGTACTTCGGTGGCTGTTTGCTTCGCCGTGCTGTTTCTCAGTTATCTGGACATTCAACTTCACGCTTCGCTCAAACTCACTCCCGCTCTTCATCTTCGATTCATTGATGACGGGTTGATTCTTTGGGAGGGAACGAGAGCAGAGTTTGAATGTTTACGGCAACGGTTTGATTCACTTCATCCTTCCATCTGACTGACATGGGTTGTCTCAGAAACTACAATGGATTTTCTGGACCTTACAGTTTTCAAGGGGCAACGTTTCTCTTCTTCTGGTACTCTCGACATGAAGCTGTATTAGAAACCGATGAACCGGTACCTGTACCTGCCCTTTAAGTCTTACCACACCCGGTCTACAAAAGTCGGTTTTATTCGGAGTGAGCTGCAAAGATTTCTCTTACGCTCCTCCTCCCGCGCTGACTTTCTTAACTCCCGCGCTTAATTCTTTGCTCGTTTACAAGCCCGTGGGTACCCGGAGAAATTTCTCCTTCCAATCTTCAAATCAGTCAGTTTCGCTAACCGTGGGGAACTACTCCAGCGTGCCTCTGCTATTCATTACCCTCAATCCCGTTGCCCCCTGGTGCTGAAACTTCTGCTCAACCCGCTGGTTGACCGTTCGCGCCTGGGGAACATTTTGAGTCGACTCAAAAGTCAACTCGGTACAATGTCACACGGTATTTTTTCTACACGCAAGGCAATTCTCGCTTGGAGTCTACCTAAACGAGTTGGTCATTATCTAATTTCATCTCATAAGTGCTAGTTACTGTAGATTTGTTTTTTCTACTGTTTCATTTAGCTTTCCCCCACCTTCCCTGGCCACGCGGAGGAATGCCTCGCGATTGAGCCCTAGGGGTTGGTATTTAGCCTAGCTTGCTAGTCATTTCTGAACTTGTGGTCTGAAGAAGGCTCGAAGAGCCGAAACTAGTTACCGCCACCTTTTCCTTTTCACAAGGGTTTAGGGTTTAGGGTTTACAAGCAAGCACAAAACCAAACTTAACAACAGTTTGCTAAACACAGCTGCTGCCACGCTACGCCATGCCTCCTACGTGGGGATCTATTGATTCTCCACCTCCCCATCCTTGCCAATCCTTCACCCACCACGCGTTCTCTGCCCCACCTGCATGTCCTCTTCCTGCCCTGCCTCCACTCACCCATTATGTCCGGATTCTTTTTCGCCCACTCCACTCTCTGATCTCTCAAAAGTGTTTTTTGCCATGAGCAAAAGCGAGGGATGGTGCAGTGGGGGGAGGATGTGGTGCTGGTGCAGAGCGGCAGGCAGTCCATCCCCCCCACTCAACTTTTCTTTCCCCTCCGCCACCTCTCTCGGCCTCTCCCCCTCCACTTATCCATTGCTTCCCTTATTCCGCATATCCCCTTCCACCCATCGTCTCCGATGGTGTGTTCCCCTTCCATGAGCAGAAGGGCAGCATGGTGCAACCGGGCGAGGATGTGGCGTTGGTGCAGAGCGCCAGGACCTTCCCCGCCCCTCTCCCTCCACTCACCCCTTGTTTCTCCCCTTCGCCTCTATGAGCAGAAGTGCGGCATGCCATGGTGCAGCCAGGCGAGGACGTGGAGCTGGTGCAGAGCAGAGCAGGTGGCAGCCCTTGTGGCGCTGAGAGTCCACCCACCCACCACATCCAAGTGCGCTGCATCATCCCATGCCGCTCCAGTGAAGCCGTGCCACTGCCCGTCTCGTGGCCCAGGGTAAGAGAATTGCAAGGTTTTGGGTTGGCCCATTCGGCATGGGTGGAGATGGCAAGGATCGGATGGGCTTTGCAGAATGGGTGGCTATGCTGAAGGGTTGCTCGTGCGGAGCATTGTGGTGGGTGGGGATGGCCATGTGGTTCAAGCTGCTGTGCTTCCATTGCACGGTTGATTACGGTGTGGCTTAGTGTATGTACGCATGCTTTAGGAGGCATGCTAATTATGTACTTGCACTTGTACAGAAAGTGAAGCGTGGTGATGGATGTGCAATTGATGTTGTGCTGCTTTAGTATGCTCATCCTGTGTGAGTGAACGGTTGCATTAGTATGGAGGATGTGGAAGGAGGAACCTCTAAGTTCAGTTCCGTAGAAAGGACCTTGAATCTTCCCAGCCCGAGTGGTTCCTCATTGGTGCTTAATATACTGTCACCTCACCCTCTTGAAGGGGTGCTTACACAGAGGCTTTTCAAAAACACAACGAAGCATATAAATGGAATGAAATGGATTACAGCGGGAAAATCCCCCCGGCATGTGATTTGAGGGCAGTCATGGCTGAACGCATGAGGATATCGTCTGATGCTAAAAACTCCTCAAATATTGACACACACCGCTGCCGCCGCTTCTCCGCTGCTTGCTGCATGTGGGGTTAAGGGCAGGAGTGGGATGGGAAGGATGGGAATTATGAGAGACATGAGAGCTTGGTGTGAATGCATGGCATGGTGTGAATGCATGGCATGGTGTGAATGCATGGCATGGTGTGAATGCATGGCATGGTGTGAAGCATCATGCATGGCATGCCACGAGCACACAACACACTACTGCTTCTCACATCACACCATGCCTGCACACGCCATACCATACATGCATGCACATGCAGGGAACACATGAAGAAACAACCAAGCACAGTGGGGCAAGGCAAGAAGTATGAGCGGGGCGGCAGGGCTGATCAACTGTTTGCACATCACTCGTCCCCCATAGCTGAAAACTCGCAGCAGCAATGGCCATGTGGATCCAGTGGAGAGGGTGCGGGAGGATTGGGGGGGCCCGGGGGAGGCAAAGCAGGGCTACCGGGAAGAGACAGGGTGGGGCGTTGCAGGGCAGGGGGGCAAGTACCGGGGTGATGGCGCGCAGGGTGGGTGGGATGCGCGAGAGCAGGTGGGTGGGGAAGAGCAGCAGGCAGCGGTGCCACGGGATGATGTCGTCAAACGGTAGCTTCCAGTTGTCCGCCACCACCACTGGTATCGCGCCAGCTGTCAGCGCCTGGTTGGTGGGGGAGTGGGGATGGGGAGTAGGAGAGGGGAAGGGAGAGGGGGAAAGAAGGTGGACTGGGCCAGGGGAGATGTGGGGAGGGATGGTGAGAGGAGAAGCGGAGGCGGACAGACGAAGTAGAGCACAAGGATGGCAGAGGTGGGATGGGAGGCCCAGTGAATGGAGAGCTGGTCGCCCTGCCCTCTCTTGTGACGCCCCCTCCCACCTCATGGCATCACGGCTTCATGCAACACACAAGCGCCCATGCGAGCAAGGCAGCTTTACGGGGACTGTCGGAGCCACCAACCATGAAGACATACGTGGAGGCCTGTGAGTGGGACCCGCCCACCCACCCGCCCTCCCCCCCTCCCTTCCACACTGCACACCTCTACGGAACGGTGGAACTCAACCCCTCACCTGCCCACCCAACCACCCCTCCACTCCACGCACCTCGACGAAGCGGTACATGGAGGCCACTTTTGAGACGACCCAAAACTCGAACCTGTTGGAGATGGCATTTGGCTCATGCGTGCACACACCCACCCACACACCCACCCAAGACCTTCCGCCCCTTTCTCCCTCCACAGCACGCACCTCAATGAAGCGGTACGTGGAGGCACGCACCTCAATGAAGCGGTAGGTGGAGGCACGCACCTCAATGAAGCGGTAGGTGGAGGCACGCACCTCAATGAAGCGGTAGGTGGAGGCACGCACCTCAATGAAGCGGTAGGTGGAGGCACGCACCTCAATGAAGCGGTAGGTGGAGGCACGCACCTCAATGAAGCGGTAGGTGGAGGCACGCACCTCAATGAAGCGGTAGGTGGAGGCACGCACCTCAATGAAGCGGTAGGTGGAGGCACGCACCTCAATGAAGCGGCTGGTGGAGGCACGCACCTCAATGAAGCGGTAGGTGGAGGCACGCACCTCAATGAAGCGACAGGTGGAGGCACGCACCTCAATGAAGCGGTAGGTGGAGGCACGCACCTCAATGAAGCGGTAGGTGGAGGCACGCACCTCAATGAAGCGGTAGGTGGAGGCACGCACCTCAATGAAGCGGTAGGTGGAGGCACGCACCTCAATGAAGCGGTAGGTGGAGGCACGCACCTCAATGAAGCGGTAGGTGGAGGCACGCACCTCAATGAAGCGGTAGGTGGAGGCACGCACCTCAATGAAGCGGTAGGTGGAGGCACGCACCTCAATGAAGCGGTAGGTGGAGGCACGCACCTCAATGAAGCGGTAGGTGGAGGCACGCACCTCAATGAAGCGGTAGGTGGAGGCACGCACCTCAATGAAGCGGCAGGTGCAGGCACGCACCTCAATGAAGCGGCAGGTGGAGGCACGAACCTCAATGAAGCGGCAGGTGGAGGCACGCACCTCAATGAAGCGGTAGGTGGAGGCACGCACCTCAATGAAGCGGTAGGTGGAGGCACGCACCTCAATGAAGCGGTAGGTGGAGGCACGCACCTCAATGAAGCGGTAGGTGGAGGCACGCACCTCAATGAAGCGGTAGGTGGAGGCACGCACCTCAATGAAGCGGTAGGTGGAGGCACGCACCTCAATGAAGCGGTAGGTGGAGGCACGCACCTCAATGAAGCGGTAGGTGGAGGCACGCACCTCAATGAAGCGGTAGGTGGAGGCACGCACCTCAATGAAGCGGTAGGTGGAGGCACGCACCTCAATGAAGCGGTAGGTGGAGGCACGCACCTCAATGAAGCGGTAGGTGGAGGCACGCACCTCAATGAAGCGGTAGGTGGAGGCACGCACCTCAATGAAGCGGTAGGTGGAGGCACGCACCTCAATGAAGCGGTAGGTGGAGGCACGCACCTCAATGAAGCGGTAGGTGGAGGCACGCACCTCAATGAAGCGGTAGGTGGAGGCACGCACCTCAATGAAGCGGTAGGTGGAGGCACGCACCTCAATGAAGCGGTAGGTGGAGGCACGCACCTCAATGAAGCGGTAGGTGGAGGCACGCACCTCAATGAAGCGGTAGGTGGAGGCACGCACCTCAATGAAGCGGTAGGTGGAGGCACGCACCTCAATGAAGCGGTAGGTGGAGGCACGCACCTCAATGAAGCGGTAGGTGGAGGCACGCACCTCAATGAAGCGGTAGGTGGAGGCACGCACCTCAATGAAGCGGTAGGTGGAGGCACGCACCTCAATGAAGCGGTAGGTGGAGGCACGCACCTCAATGAAGCGGTAGGTGGAGGCACGCACCTCAATGAAGCGGTAGGTGGAGGCACGCACCTCAATGAAGCGGTAGGTGGAGGCACGCACCTCAATGAAGCGGTAGGTGGAGGCACGCACCTCAATGAAGCGGTAGGTGGAGGCACGCACCTCAATGAAGCGGTAGGTGGAGGCACGCACCTCAATGAAGCGGTAGGTGGAGGCACGCACCTCAATGAAGCGGTAGGTGGAGGCACGCACCTCAGTGAAGCGGCAGGTGGAGGCACGAACCTCAATGAAGCGGCAGGTGGAGGCACGCACCTCAATGAAGCGGTAGGTGGAGGCACGCACCTCAATAAAGCGGCAGGTGGAGGCACGCACCTCAATGAAGCGGTAGGTGGAGGCACGCACCTCAATGAAGCGGTAGGTGGAGGCACGCACCTCAATGAAGCGGTAGGTGGAGGCACGCACCTCAATGAAGCGGTAGGTGGAGGCACGCACCTCAATGAAGCGGTAGGTGGAGGCACGCACCTCAATGAAGCGGTAGGTGGAGGCACGCACCTCAATGAAGCGGTAGGTGGAGGCACGCACCTCAATGAAGCGGTAGGTGGAGGCACGCACCTCAATGAAGCGGTAGGTGGAGGCACGCACCTCAATGAAGCGACAGGTGGAGGCACGCACCTCAATGAAGCGGTAGGTGGAGGCACGCACCTCAATGAAGCGGTAGGTGGAGGCACGCACCTCAATGAAGCGGTAGGTGGAGGCACGCACCTCAATGAAGCGGTAGGTGGAGGCACGCACCTCAATGAAGCGGTAGGTGGAGGCACGCACCTCAATGAGCGGCAGGTGGAGGCACGCACCTCAATGAAGCAGCAGGTGGAAGCACGCACCTCAATGAAGCGGCAGGTGGAGGTACGCACCTCAATGAAGCGGCAGGTGGAGGCACGAACCTCAATGAAGCGGCAGGTGGAGGCACGAACCTCAATGAAGCGGTAGGTGGAGGCACGCACCTCAATGAAGCGGTAGGTGGAGGCACGCACCTCAATGAAGCGGTAGGTGGAGGCACGCACCTCAATGAAGCGGTAGGTGGAGGCACGCACCTCAATGAAGCGGTAGGTGGAGGCACGCACCTCAATGAAGCGGTAGGTGGAGGCACGCACCTCAATGAAGCGGTAGGTGGAGGCACGCACCTCAATGAAGCGGTAGGTGGAGGCACGCACCTCAATGAAGCGGTAGGTGGAGGCACGCACCTCAATGAAGCGGTAGGTGGAGGCACGCACCTCAATGAAGCGGTAGGTGGAGGCACGCACCTCAATGAAGCGGTAGGTGGAGGCACGCACCTCAATGAAGCGGTAGGTGGAGGCACGCACCTCAATGAAGCGGTAGGTGGAGGCACGCACCTCAATGAAGCGGTAGGTGGAGGCACGCACCTCAATGAAGCGGTAGGTGGAGGCACGCACCTCAATGAAGCGGTAGGTGGAGGCACGCACCTCAATGAAGCGGTAGGTGGAGGCACGCACCTCAATGAAGCGGTAGGTGGAGGCACGCACCTCAATGAAGCGGTAGGTGGAGGCACGCACCTCAATGAAGCGGTAGGTGGAGGCACGCACCTCAATGAAGCGGTAGGTGGAGGCACGCACCTCAATGAAGCGGTAGGTGGAGGCACGCACCTCAATGAAGCGGTAGGTGGAGGCACGCACCTCAATGAAGCGGTAGGTGGAGGCACGCACCTCAATGAAGCGGTAGGTGGAGGCACGCACCTCAATGAAGCGGTAGGTGGAGGCACGCACCTCAATGAAGCGGTAGGTGGAGGCACGCACCTCAATGAAGCGGTAGGTGGAGGCACGCACCTCAATGAAGCGGTAGGTGGAGGCACGCACCTCAATGAAGCGGTAGGTGGAGGCACGCACCTCAATGAAGCGGTAGGTGGAGGCACGCACCTCAATGAAGCGGTAGGTGGAGGCACGCACCTCAATGAAGCGGTAGGTGGAGGCACGCACCTCAATGAAGCGGTAGGTGGAGGCACGCACCTCAATGAAGCGGTAGGTGGAGGCACGCACCTCAATGAAGCGGTAGGTGGAGGCACGCACCTCAATGAAGCGGTAGGTGGAGGCACGCACCTCAATGAAGCGGTAGGTGGAGGCACGCACCTCAATGAAGCGGTAGGTGGAGGCACGCACCTCAATGAAGCGGTAGGTGGAGGCACGCACCTCAATGAAGCGGTAGGTGGAGGCACGCACCTCAATGAAGCGGTAGGTGGAGGCACGCACCTCAATGAAGCGGTAGGTGGAGGCACGCACCTCAATGAAGCGGTAGGTGGAGGCACGCACCTCAATGAAGCGGTAGGTGGAGGCACGCACCTCAATGAAGCGGTAGGTGGAGGCACGCACCTCAATGAAGCGGTAGGTGGAGGCACGCACCTCAATGAAGCGGTAGGTGGAGGCACGCACCTCAATGAAGCGGTAGGTGGAGGCACGCACCTCAATGAAGCGGTAGGTGGAGGCACGCACCTCAATGAAGCGGTAGGTGGAGGCACGCACCTCAATGAAGCGGTAGGTGGAGGCACGCACCTCAATGAAGCGGTAGGTGGAGGCACGCACCTCAATGAAGCGGTAGGTGGAGGCACGCACCTCAATGAAGCGGTAGGTGGAGGCACGCACCTCAATGAAGCGGTAGGTGGAGGCACGCACCTCAATGAAGCGGTAGGTGGAGGCACGCACCTCAATGAAGCGGTAGGTGGAGGCACGCACCTCAATGAAGCGGTAGGTGGAGGCACGCACCTCAATGAAGCGGTAGGTGGAGGCACGCACCTCAATGAAGCGGTAGGTGGAGGCACGCACCTCAATGAA